ATAGTCATGAAGCTTATATCAGTCAATATTAGAGAAACCAATCTGTTCTAGAAAAAGGGTATTTAGCTAATCAGCAATGAAATATTTGATTTAGGCTTTATGTCATTTATATTGATATGAATATTGATATTGTATATCATTACAAAAATATATCTAATTAAGGTAGATAGTTTTCAGTATTTATAGGGCACTACATAAATGGTAAATTAAAGAACTCTGGAGGGAAGAGGCCTGGATTACAAGCCAAGTCCAATGAACTACAGTCATAAAAAGGTTTCCCTGGCCTGTGTTGACTTCCTGACAGTCATGGTAAGACAATTCTACTAATTCTTCTGTTATAATAAGCATTAAACAATTGACAGATTCATATTTTAAGGAAAAAAATCAAAAGCCTGGGAATTCAAAATATAAATTAAACTTTGACCAGGTAGATATGTTTGGTCTGATTAATAAAAAAAAGCACTCCTGTGAATACTCAAGTCTTTACTGCAGTTAAAGAAAGTATGATGTTATTGAAACAAATACTGTCCTTCCACAGTACATCTGCAAATAGCAGTTAAGATGCCAGAATAAGATGAATTGTAAGGAAACATAATACCTTTGAAAATCAAATTGAAGCATAAAATGCTTCTACTTCTACTCTCACCTTTCTTCTGCAGCCCTGGTGCTCCAGTCTTTTCCCCAGGCTGCCATCCTGACTGCCTGCTAGCACTCCTTGGCACTCCATACCACCTCCTACACTGATTCCCATGCAGAATTTCCTGAGCTAGGAGACAATTCAAAAATACAGCTGGACTACACATTTCATAGAATCCTTCAATGGCTTAGAAAGATCATCTAGCTCCAACCCCCCGCAGTGGATTTCATAATTCACCTTGAAGACAGAAGATAAAGGCACGTGGGGAACAGACAGGGCTATTAAGAGCAGGAGATATGGCCAGAGCTAAAGTAAACTCTGATGTGAGCAGTTCTTGTAAAGGATGGAGAATTAGCTGAGTGACTGATGGATTAGGGGAGATTTAGGCTGAATATAGGGATAAGTTTTTTGCAATCAGAGCAGTGAAGCACTGGAACAGGTTGCCCAGAGACGTGATGTATGCCTGCCCCTGGACACAGTCAAGACCTGAGCAAACCATCTAGCTGTAGAAATCTCTGTTCATTGCAGGGGAGATGGACTAGTTGACCTTTAAGGGTCCCTTCCAACTCAAACAATTCTGTGATTCTATGAAAAAACAGAGACCAAAGCATCAATTGGCTTTAAGGAAATAAAGGAGTAAAATCACAAGCAAAAGAGCTTCAGACTACAAGGGTGCTAACAAACTCCTAAACAGAAGAGACTTCAGTAGCTGAAGGATTTAGTATTAAAACTATAAATTCTTTTCAAGCTGCAGCTTTTGGCAGTGGATGAACATGAGTCTGGAGAACAACAAATGCAGCCACTTGCCAGTAATCATTACTGAAGTTTACCCCAGGTCTATCATTTCACAGAGATCAGTGCTTGCAATATAAAATGCTGCTTATAAAATACCATAATGAGGATTATTATTATTATTTTAATAAATTCACTTACTAAACACTTAATATAGTTCTATTATGTTCTAATCTCGATTTATTATTAGTTGAGATCGTTTAAACAATTGCCAAACCACAGTGGTTTCAATTAGTATTTTACAAATACACAACTGCTATATTAAATCTAAATTGACTACAGCATTAAGAAATCTTTAATTCAAAGCACTATTAAGATTTTTTCTTGCCAGAATGGTGGAAAACACAAAATAAGGTCAAAAATTAAAAAAAAAAAAATTAGGAACACGACCAAATACTTACCAAGAAGCACTTGAACAAGGAAAAAGTAGTGCAAATAAATAGAAAAAAAAAAAAAGTCTGATGCCTCTGATGCCTGTACCATAATTGTAAATAAATAAGTAATTAAATAAACAGCCCCTGAGCTTTGTATGTTCTGCTATATTACCTAAGCAATAATTAAACCATTAGATATCAATGATATCTTGCTATTTTGTAAGAAAGCTTAAAAAAAAAAATCATTACCTCTCTTTACACAGTGAATTAACTTCATGTGTATCATAAATAATGGGTTAATAAGCTAGTTATTAAAAGCTTCTCTTTATCTTGTTTTCACTGAAGGCACATGGAACAGCTAATGACAATTTTAGAAATACCTGGTCCTCCCACGAGGAAAGAAGGTGAACATAAACAAATGGAGTTGCCAACTCAAGCTGAAGGGAACTGTGATTTCTAAACTGTTACCAGGTCCTCCGCCAAAAAACTTACCACAGACACTGACCAGGTTGGAAGGTTCAAGACAGGCTTGAGAGATTAATTAAACCAAAGTTGAAACAACCACTGTGGTGACAGAGTTCATTCTATTCTTTTATTCAAATTTATTGTTTTGTTTTTCTCCGAAGATTTATTTTTCCTCCTTGCTTCAAAGTAATTAACTATGAAAATTTCTTGGAAAATTAATGAAGTGTAGCACTCTTCTTGGGCACTCTTGTGGAGGAAAGACCAAACACTTTTCAATTTCATGTTCAAGTGTTTCAACTTCAGTGTTCCAGATGAAAATAAGCAGGAAGCACTACACTGATTTCTAGGGAAAACCAATTTAGAAAGTACATGATTCACTGTTACTAGAAAAACAGTCTAGAACCATTCAGCAAATTCAAGAGACACATACTGCTTACATGTAGAAAAGAAAATCAGCCTTGAAATTCAAAATTTCCATAATTTTGGAGCTGTTGCACTTGGCTGTAGTATTTATTGTGTTACGTTTGGCACTAACTATGTTTGGCTTTTAAAATCATGTCAACATTTTCCATAAAAATATGTTCTATAGCTTCTTGAACAAAAATGGGCAAGTGTTCCAGTAATAAAACGTTAAACAGCGTTTGTGCCTGTAAAGGCATTAATAGGGCAGAAATCATTTCAACCCAAGTAATTCAAGCCCTATAACTCACAGACAGATTTTAGTGGAGCCAGAATTTTTATTATTTTTAGCTGAGATAATACTATCTGAGCAATAGTCTGTAACAAGCTGTAACTAAAAGTATCTGACATCAAATAGGAAGAAACCTATTCTATTTTTCAGGAATGTTTATTTTATCTCAGCTTGAATCCACAAAATGTCCGTGTCCACAGCGCAACGTGTGTACCATGCAAAATCACCAAACCAAGAGCAAAAACGCAGATATGATTTATAAATACACCAGTTGGCGATCACACCAAAATAAAAATACACAGCTCAAAAATCACTGGAGGGGAACCAGCACTGGTCTGGTAAATGCAACTGTATAATTATTCTCAGAGGGAGAGACTGTCAAAGGCATGAGGGTGAGTTAAATATCCAGCACTCAACACATGCCAATATAGATTGGACACAGCCTCACATTTGTGCTTTTCAAAACCAATCCTGTAATTCAGGAAAAAAGGCCACTTTCTGTAAGTGGTAAAAATGTAGAATAAGTGGTATTGAATTCACAGTTCACCTTTTGCAAGCTTTGGGGTTTTTTGGGACGGTTTGTTTGCTTGAAAGAAAGCAAAGAACAACTATCAGCATAGACAACGTTTCCTATCTCAAAAACACAATACAGGCTAATACAAAAACATTCATCTATTTCCCAAAACTGTAACAATATTTAAAAACATTTTCATGTCGCCCAGCTTTTACAGCCCGCTCCCAAAAGGCTGAAAGCGGACAAGTTGCTGAATTCACAACCGTGCAATGAAAATTAGGGCCAAGCTCCTAAATTGTTTTACAGAAGGGATGTATAAATGCTATTCTGCTCTCATTGAATTCTTCATCAAAACCTGGCCACCTGGTACAGATTAGGCAGCACTCAACAGCACTACCTATCACAAAGCAAAGAATACCATATCCACTGCATCCGCACAGGGATCGGGGAGAAACAGGCGAGATGTCATTACAAGGGCTGGAATGTGGCCAGAGCACTGCAGTTAATGCTCTTATTCCAGCCAAAAGTGCCACAGAATGACCTCATAGGCCTGTCAAGATTATGTGCGATCTGAAGGACAGCACCCACTTCCTCACAACACAGAGCATCCCTGTGACATGCTGCAGGACCCACGGGAAAGTGCCCTACATTTAATGAACGTCTGATTAGTTCAGGAAGCAAAGGAAAACTGTTTCTCACTTCAGGTTCTTCAGTTTGGTGACCTAATTCTGGTCAGACTATGACACATGAAAAAGCTATGAATTAGGGGTGGTAGCAATGATTAATAATCCATATGGGTAATCGTCCACATATGAGCATATGGAAAAATCGATACAAATAGGCACAAGTGCCAGATAGCAGTGAAACAACGTGCAGATATAGCAGAGCACTCATAGGCTTTAACAGCCGTACTGTGAGGCACAAACACACAAACAAGGAACCTTGTTGCACATTAGCAGGTTGTAAATTTCCAAATAAAATGCAGCACTAACAGTGAAAGGTTGTTTGTTTGTTCTTAATAGTACATCTGTTTTATTAAAACAGCAACACTTACATATTAAAACATGTATGTTGTGAGGTGTCTGGTCACCTGAAAATTGTGTCGGAGCAAAAGGCTTGATAAGAAGCCCACCCATATCCCAGTGCGTATACTGGGCTTGTATCTACACAAAGCATTATTAAATATATGCTTAATCTTTTCTTATTTTCATGTAAAGGGAATTAATTCTTTTAAACTAAAAATTGCTGCTTAAATCATAACTCTTTCCTAACCTTTGTTTTAATTAAAATTAAAGAAGCAATAACAGCTAGGCTAACACAACTATCTAATTTGCTAAACATAACAAATCTTGGTGTGACTTTGGACATTAGCAAATAAGTTTTTATGAAGATCGTGACTTCTATAAAAATATTGTGTTCCACAACATATCACCTTAAAAACAGAGTGTGAATTATGGCTTCCCAATAAAAACTGCATTGAGCTTTCAAAAACATCAACAGAACAAATAAAAAACCCACGGAACTCACTTGAACATCTGTTCATATCTGGTGTTCGGAGTCCATAATATCCTGATGGGCAGGAATGTAGGCATTCACCATACTGTCTCATTCCTTCTCTTCGTAGGAAGAAGAATAACTTATGCTGGCATCTGATGCATCCATTATCCTTTGAACAAGACAAACAGCCTTTGCAAATTGGATTTGATCCATAGCTAGCTACAAAATAAGAAGAAGAAAAATTACACTTTAAGATCATTTGGAAATTATTCTGGCTGGAGGTCCTCTTTGCTGTAAAATGTTCTCTACTGCATGATTACAAATAGTTTTGAAAAGGAGGTTCTGCAAGCGTGCTCATTGTCAAGCATCTGCACTGGGAAGTGGATAAAAAGAAATATAATCTCTGTATTTTTAACTAGCATATACAGCAATTTAATGAACTTGATACATTTTAAATAAAGGTATAAACAAGCAGAGACCAAGGTACATAAAATTCAAAAGCAAAACATAAACAAAACTCGTATGCTCAATTCTAATTTCAAGCTGAGCATTTAAGTACAAAACAGCAACAAAATATAATAATATTGGCACCATAATCTATGCATCCGGAATGCTATTTCCATTGAAACCCATTATCAACACAGATGCAACTTCTGACTTGTGAACACAGCAGCATTAAGTGTAGCAAACTACAGAATGGGTACAACACCTGCTATGTGCACATCTCTCAGGTACTACTGTAGCGCCTTCCTGCACTTCTAGGTCTTTGTAATAAAAATGAAGATGTGATGTGAAGATGTGAAGATAAAAATGAATTATCTCCAAAAAGGAAGAGAATCTGTAAGTTTATTTTCTATGAGGTTCTACCCAAAATGAGTTGAATACAGCATGCACAGGCATCTCAGAAGAAAGGCATTAGCATCTAATCACTATTTTAGGTCACTAGCTGTTATGCTTTCAACTAAATATACTCTCTTTTTTGTGACTTGAGTGATAGTGCAACAAACCCTGGCTGCATCCTTCCATGCCCTTATGAACCTTTACTGTTCTGCCTTCCTTCAGTCAGGGAACAGTCCCTGCCCTATACACAGTCAGCTCCTTCTTAGGCGCTGAGTCAGCACAGCAGGTTAGCAGAGGTCTGAAGGCTCAAGTTGTTCCTGAAACCAGAATAATGTAATAATAGTTCTTTCTTAGAAATTGGTTACAGGACTTCACAGAAGTCTGCCTGTTTACATCTATTTTACTACAAACAAAAGAGAAACATTATACATGAAAAGGGAAAAGTCTTTGAGATGTCAAGAGCATTTGAATAGAGGTCATTCTGACAGCAGCTGGTCCAAAGAGCAAAGACTATGCTTAATTGCTGTGTTTTAAAGTATTCCAGTGTATCTATGCCCTAACATAGTACTCCAATAATTTTATCTTATGCGGATGTATAAGAGCTGTTGTTTAATGGCTGACTTCACCAGCCGAGCTGGGAAAAGAAGAAAGGAAAAAGCCCACCACCCTCTGGAACCAGTAGCTGATAAGCTTTACTCTCACCTTCACACATCTGCACAACACATTCTCGTTCTGTGGTTGCTCCATCCCCCCCAACACGCTTCTCCCAGCTCAGTATGGCAGTGTTCAGCTCCTATCCTGTGCAGAACACTCTGGGTGTGTGGCAGGCAGGATGAGGAGCCAAGAGAGTGGTGGGAAGCTGCTCAGCCTGTGGGACACGTTGTGAAGGCTGAAGCTCTCTGAGACCAGGTTCATGTACTAAGATTCTCTTGATGGGAATGGTATCCTTTCTGGTATACATACTACTAAATTCTCACACCCATGCGCCCATGGCAAAGGCACATACTACAAGACCAACTGCCTTAAATCCCTGAACCTGTGCACGCATCCTGTTGCATCCACTCTCTCCGAGACAACTTCATCTTGCAAATACCCTCATTCTTTGAAGATGTACATGAAGGAAACAGGCAATGAGCTAGGCCTGAGTGCATCCCTTCCCTCTCTGTCACAGGGACTGCCTTTCTGTAACCACATCAAACACAGGACTGTGCACTCCAAAGCAATTGTTGCTTTAACACATGGTGAGACCCGGGTCCCCTTTTAGTTTTCTTGCATCTCACCTCCAGCAAATCTGTACCTCAAACTCGTTCAAGGTTCCTCACAGAATCCTGTGCTTTAAGAAAAAGAATTAAATAGAATGAAACAAAAGTAAAGTTACAAGATGCTTTCAGTTATTCACCACTACTCATAAACCTTTTCGGGGTTTTGAAAGAGTAGTGGTCAGGATCTCATTTCCAGCATTATATTTCTACCTCGAATCACAGATAATTTTCTTTCTCTGCCCCTCTGGAGCAGCTGCACAATACCGGTATCAAACAAGGCAGCTTCAGCCGTGCCCATCTACCTTTGTAACTGTTGCTCCAGCCCTGTGCTCTCTTTTGGAATGAACTAAGTTCTTCCACAACATAACCCATGCATGCCTCCACAGCAACAGTCTGCACTGGAGAATCTTCTGGGTAGGCAGCAGGAAGACTGCCCTGCTTTGTCCCACAGCCCTCACACCTTTTCCTGGCAGCCATGAGCAGGATCCACCCTTTATACTAGAAGTATGACTTTCATGCGCAGTGCCTCGTACAGCCACACCACTCAACAGCTAACAGTTTTCATAAAAAAACACTATTCAGTCACACAGTACAATCTTTACATTATTTCAGAGACTGAACAGAGAGAAGCTTATGTATGATTATGACTTAGTGCAACCACCCAAGGTGAAAAAGGAACACAAGACTAATTGCACAACAGGAGAGATAAAGCTAAAGGCTGCAATTCTCAATAGTGTGGCTAGAGGAGCACAGATGACATCAGAGCAGATATGTAGAATCCACGTAGGTCATAGTCTCTATCCTCCTTGAACTTTCTCAAATTTTGGCATCTTGGCTACAGAACTTGACTCCATTGCCCAGCTTTCCTTTATCTATGACTGTCCGTGTGTTACTTTCCTTTTTCCCTGTTTCTGTTAAGATGCGCTTTTTTTTGTCAACCCTTTGATCGACAAGGCAAGTTAAATTATGCTGACTTCCCTGGACTTCAGACATAGTTCTGTACCAACAGACTCTCATATGACACGGAGCTAACAGCATAAAATGGTCCTCAGTTACCTTGTGTTAGTCTTACTTAGGAGATGAAGGGTTAATCCTTCACAGCTTCAGATAACACAGAATATATGAAAGAGAGATTCTGTAAGTAGTGTACATTTATCCCAAAATTTTAAGTTGGGTATAGGTTCACCGAACTATAACATATCAACTGGCCTTTTTATCTCATGAACAACCTAAACGAATTTGCAATTTCTCCACTGTGTTTTTTTCTTCTCAGAACACTGTTGTGAGGTGCAGCATTAAAACCTGTAAGCTGCTCTGAAATCCTCATGAGAGGTGTTACAGATAAAGTACATGTATTTCTAATTAAATGGCTGATTATTGGACACATTGATTTTGGATAACGGGGAGATCATGATGGTCATACAATGATGAGTTTCCCTCTCGCTCTCCTATTTACTAAGTTACAATAAAAACCTGAAAATGCATCAGGTATTTTTTTCTCTTTCTTCGCCATAATAGGAAAAAGTCAAAAAAAGGTTAGACGGCGGTAAGGGAAAAGAATATATGGACAGAAAATTATTTGTATGCTATAGTCCAGAGTAAACTTTCTGAGAGAGTCCGAAAATTTCTGACTGTGCTGCTTCAGGCAACTGAACAGCCTGCAACTATTTTGCATACAAAGTTATTGTGAAGTGTATGTCACAGAACTGCCTTTCTTCTACATTGCCATCAGTCATTCTTAGCAGAACTTCACAGGAAGCAGACAAACAACTTCTGCAACCTTTCTTTCAGTTCAACTTGTCTCTAAGCAGAAAGAATCACAATATGCTCTGCTGCTAAATTACTTGGATACTGAGCACATACTTCAACAAATCAAGTATTCCAGCACTGTTTCCAGCATCACATAAGCATGCCATCTTGAAGATATCAACTTACCTTTAGCTCTTTGCCCCTATACACACAGGCTATAATCAAGTTCTACAAATCCCTCACCCCCTTGGAAAGCCTTCTCTTTCCATCTCGTCTCTTAACACAACAAATACATCTTATGGTATACAGCTTTCTTAATCCCCAGATAATTGAAAGAGGAAGTAAACTTATCTATGTTCAGCAGTAATATCTATATGTTTCCTTTTGAATTTCTTCATAACAACATATTTTTCCCCTTCTGTATTAGACTGCAAGAAAAAAAATAAGGAGCTTACAAAACATGGTCAGCTACATTCCAAGTTACCAGTTGCGTCACATACAATGTAAAACATCACACTACACTCTCAGTTCTCACATCCCTAATTCAACTCTGCCTGGAACACCCTCCTCGACTCTGTGTGCCAAGCAGGCAGGTTTTCTCTATCCAAATCCCTCATGAAAACTCACTCCTTCCACAAGGCCCACAAATGTTAACCAGTGTCAGAATGCTGCTGTCATCACATCATAAAACCAAAAATGCACACATGCTCTAAGTTAGCACCATCCTCTGGGTCTCAAAGCACATGATTGCCCTGGCTGTCTGTTAACATTGTAAGCTCCTTGCAGCAGGAGCAAAGTTTTGTACAGCCACACAGATATGTAGCCAGGTGTGAACACTGCACATAAACACAAGAGCACACAGGCAGTGTCCTTCTTATTCCTTCGGCTTGCTGCTTCTATAGCTACATTCCAGGGCATCTCTGTATTTAAATAAAAATCGTTTACAGACTTGATTGCCTGTGTTGTTGGGTTTTTTATTATTTTAAATCTGGGATAAAATACGCCAAGTTAGAAAAGGTTACTTGAGAACACAGACTAATACCCAAACACTGAATGAAACACTTCTAAACTGTAGGGGTGTTCAAAGTTTCATGGTTTGGATCCATATCAAGTAAAATCAAATGTCAGCTAATTACTTTAACTCTTGTCTGGATCAAAAGTATTAAAACCACTTCAGCAATATGGCTTAAAGTGAACTGTTATGACTATTTGAAATCACAAGAGAACGAATGATGCAAAACCAGTCTAGTCTGTTCCCCACAGTAAGACAAGTTGTTCTGTGAGCAAAAGAACTAGCAGCATTTAATTTCCTATCGATTTTAATGTCTTGCAGCCCATACCACAATAACTGCTACCAATTTGTTTCTT